TGCATACATATACATACATACATACATATATATATATATATATATATGCATACATATATATGCATACATATACATACATACATACATATATACATATATATATATATATATACACATACATAGATAGATATTCACCCGCACATTTTTATATACATAAACATTTTTGAAAGAAACCTTTCTCACGCCTAGATGCAGCCACAAACCAAAATGGAAATTGGTAGTTGACTTATTTTTTAAGTTACCATGTTCACAACATGCACGGATGGACAGAGGGTATTTCCAATTTCCAACTTTTAATCTGCAATGACTGACCAAAATAATAATAATAAATAAATTAATTAATAAATAAATAAATTAATAAATTAATAAATTAATAAATTAACAAATTAATAAATTAATAAATTAATAAATTAATAAATTAATAAATTAATAAATTAATAAATTAATAAATTAATAAATAAATAAATAAATAAATAAATAAATTAATAAATAAACAAACAAATGAATGAATAAATAAATAAATAAACAAACAAATAAATAAACAAACAAATAAATAAATAATACGGCAAAGAAGGCTCTGAGCTAACAAGAAGCTATATCTTGGATCAAAGTAGGTAACTATTTTATCTGTAGTGTTCAAATCTAAGGGGAAAAAAAAACAAATGCTGTTGTTTTTATATTTGTTTTTCTTCCTGGCATCACATTTAAAATGTAAAATGCGTCTTGAGACAGCTGAAATAGAATTATATTTCAGCTATAACTCTAAATGCTTGTGTTTCTCCCTCAATGTTAGTTCTGCTCAAATACTTGACTTGATGACAAATAATCCACACAAACCTGTCTCCTTTGAAGAAGTAGGTCTTGGCGACATCTTCCCACCAGACAGCTGTCTCGATACTCTCAGTTTGCATGCCGCTCCCGAACAGAGAGATGTCCTGAGGGTATGAAGGCTGCAGAGTGGTATCCTTGAACACCCAGAAACGGTTTCCTGAAATAGAATCAGTCAGGACGTTAGAATGCACTGGGGCAGTAATTCTTTCATATAAATTAAAAACCACCATAGAAAAAAAAATAAACACATATACATTCCCCTTGTTGGGGGGTTTGCCAGTCAGTGGGATTTTTTTTCTCTTTCCATGTGATTTCAAAGTCCAGATGTTTCATAATCTTGTTTAAAGCTTATCTGCATGGCACACAATCTTTGACCGATGATGCTCCGAGGGAAACTCTGCTGCATCTTCTTGTTTTGAGTTTCACTGAAGCTACAGTTGCGTTTGATTCATTTGGATCAGAAGTGCCTTAGACGGAGCGCAGAAAGCTGTTGTGATGGCTAGGCTCTCACATGAACACACCCATGAACACACACGTGCTTCAGTCCCTCTGAGTGAATGAATAAATCAAGAGGCTCTCTTATTCCACCGGGTGACAGATGTCATGTTAATCTGCCTGATGAACGGATGGATGGCTCTCTGTGACCCACACCCGTTCTTCTACCATACAGAATTCAATGCAACCTCACTCATTCTGTTATTATCTAATCAAATTCCACATGATGAACGTTTACGTGCATGGCCGACCATTTTAAAAACTGTGTTTTTGGATGCAGTGGTTTTGACAATTTAACTAGAAATGATGATACAACTCATTCCTGCTGTAAGTACACATCTCTGATAAACAAATCTGAATGCCTTGCTCCACTGTTTGCATTAAAACCTCAAGCACAAATGATTGACTGAAGCTAGCATTCCTTACCATACCATATCATACCAATTTATTTATAGAGCATTTAAAACAGCAACAAGGCCAACCAAAGTGCTGTACAATTTCCTTAAAGCAGGGGTTCCCAACCCTGGTCCTTGAGGAACACCATCCTGCATGTTTTAGTTATTTCCTGCTAAGACACCTGATTTTATTAAATGGGTGATTAACAGGCTTCTGCAGAACGAGAGGAAGTAATTAAATCACTTAATCAGGTATTTTGGAGCAGAGAAACAACTAAAACATGCAGGATGGTGTTCCTCAAGGAACAGGGTTGGGAACCACTGCCTTAAATATAACTCTTAGCATGGCAAATCAAAGTGTTCAATAAATTGTTCTGTCAATGGATAAACTATGTGATGTGGAAGGATTTCAAGAACTAGCTTGTCAAACTTTAGCTCAATATATGTCAAACTTACTGAATTGTACCATTTTTTGAGTTTAATGATTTAGATTTGTTGTGGTGGCCATTTTAAATTGGGTCAACCCCAAATGTTAATCATCTGAAGATGAGCACCTTGTGGTTATTTTCTTGGAGTTTCATTAAAATTAGATGTTTTGTTAACAGACAGACAGAACTGACTCATAGTTAAAGCTAATGTTTCAGGTTAAAATTATGTACAATCTCTTGGTGGTTGATGTGTTGGGAAGACTCTCAGCTACCACCATGCCAAACTTTAGCTCAATATTTGGGAAATGAACTGAGTTATAGCTGTTTTAATATTTGCTAAAATCAATTATCTGTGAGGTCCACGTTGAATCTGGAAGACTCCACATGGTAATCAGTGATGATTTCATTAAATCCTTCTAGTGGTTCACTGGATATTTCATTGAAGGACATCAAGTAAGCTAAAAATTATATGATTTCTCACTTTTCACGTTATTGATCGATAATGATTATTAATTTACTGTACAACAATTAGAAACATGGATGCTTTTATTACCTTTGAAGAAAACAAACTTTCCTTCACTGTTTTCGTACACAGCGTCTATTTTAGCAGGCAGGCCTTTCCAGAAGAAGTTGATCTGCATGGGATACCCTGGAACCACTGAGTTGTCCCGGACCCTCCAGAACCACTGGTCCTGAATAAAAAAAAACACAGAACCATATTTTATTAAACTGCTCTGAGCCCAGCAGGATGGATTTCTATGGTTGATTATTGTGTGAATACTTATGAAGCATTCACACTATTTTGATCCATTTTTCTTCCATACATTTTTGGGCGCTGATCTTGTCCCGCTGGTTTTAAGCTATTTCAACACATCATCTCATAACGTTCAGCTCTTTCAGAATAATCCTGCTATGACTTTTGGTATTGGTGCAACTTTAGCTTTTTGAAATATTTAGCTTTTTATGTCGGGTTTTTTTTTCTCATAGAAAATGAATTGAATCTGTTTACAACCTTTTACTGCTCCTTTCACATTTTGGGGGGTGGGGGGTCCCCACCTGTTTTGTGCTCTTTCATTTTCTTTCTGCTAACTACAACATTTCTGTGCTTCTAACTTATTTCTGCTAATTTCAGCTTGTTATACTCCTTTCAGCTCATTTCTGCAAATTTTAGCCTTTTCTACTATTTCAATTACTATATAGCTGTTGTTATACTAATTTAAGCTTTTTCAGCTAATTCCACATTTTTTGCACTCATTTCAACTTTTTTCAGACTAATACAACAAAAATGTGCTCTTTCCACTTGTATCCTGTAATTTCAGCTTCTTTCTGCTTTTTCAGCTATTTTTTTTTGTTGTTGTTGCTAATTTCAGCTTTTTGCATATAAGTTCCACTTTGTTGTGCTCACTTCTGCTTCTTTCAGCCTAACTGGGCAAACATCTGTTTTCTTATGCTAAATTAAGTTTGTTCTACATTTTCAACTAGCTTTTTAGCTCATTTTAGCTGTTTTCAGATAAATTCAAGTTTTTCATGGTAATCTGCTACTTTCAGCCTAATTAAAATTTCATCTTGTTATGCTCCTTCCAGCCTAATTATGTTAGTTTCAGCTATTTCAGCTACTATTTAGCAATTATATGCAAATGTTAGCCTTTTCAGCTACTTTCACATTTTTTAGCTCATTTCAGCTGTTTCAGCTTCCTTCTGGTAGTTTAAGCTTCCTTCTTCCTTTCAGCTACCTTTCAGTCATTTTTTGCTAATTTCGGAGGTGGGGGGTGGGTTGTTGCTAATTTGCTCATTTTTGTGCTCATTTCTGCTTATTTAAACTTATTTCAGCAAATATATACTGCTTTCTTCTGCTAATTTACACTTGTTCTTCCAGTTCAGCATGTTTTTTAGTTAATTTCAGCTGTTTCTCAGTAAGTTCTTCTGCAATAAGCATTCATACTGCATTTCAACAGGAAATGAAATTTCTCTAGCTTAAGTTTACCTTGAAGACAAACAGCTCCTGTCGGAGGATGGCCAGAGTGTTGAAGCCTCCATCACAGATGTTAGGTTTGGCGTTGGGGTTAGATGGTTTGGCCCCCTGTGGAGGGTGATGGGGTCTGACGTGGCGACCCTGTTTTCGGGGATCTGAGGGAAGGTGGAAGCGAGGAGGGGGAACTGTAGGAGGGGGTCTTGTTGGCTGAGGAGTTTTATCTGGTGGTCCTGAAAATAGAAAAACACTGAGTTTCTTCCTGTTCCGTCACCTTGTCTGTGCTTCACTGCTGTGTTTCTGAAAGATTCTGCTATTCCTGAGTTTATTCCCACTGAGATATTTTTTTTCTTACTTTCTTTTTTTTACCAATGTGCGCTTTAAATTGGCACCGATTATTTTACCTCTTTGGCATCTGTTGGTTGACTCATGCTGTTTTGAAAATCTCAGATTGGCTGACCTCTTCTAACAGCTGACAAATGCTGCTTATTGGCATCCAACTCAGTATGACCGATAGAGCGGTGACTAAGTTTCTAATCTGTGCTACTCAGTGTTTTGTGACGGTGAGGCGAGCATCTTGGATAAAGTGTTGAAACAATGCAAAGTACTTTTTCTTATGTCTCATTATTTTAAAAAAATTATACTAAAAAATCACCATAGATTTTCTGGATGCCCTGCAGATCATCATGAGGTAGTTTGAAGCTCTCCGTGTCCATGTACTGGTAGAAAGGAGCCATGATGGCAGTCGGGTCACTGGAGTGCTCCAGACCGAGGGCATGGCCCAGCTCGTGGACTGCAACCAAGAACAGGTCATTGCCTGAAGGGGGAAGAAGAAAATGGCTGTGAGAATGCAATTTTTTTTACCTGGTGTACAGTTTCACTCTAAGAAGGACTGCCTGAGCATGGGACTGTGTAGTTCTAGTTGGTTTACAAAAATCTAATTGTTTCGAAAACAAAAATAGACCGTTTTAATAGAAACATGTTGAATCAATGTGTGTTTATTGCAGCAAAGCAGTACAAGATGGAAGTGTGCTCAGTTCCCCCTCACTGACTGATATGTGCTATCCAAAATCACCTTATATCGAGAGAAGATAGAGCTATAGCTGTTTTGGTTATACCTTTTAAATGACATTAGTATGGTGGCCCTAAGGTGTAAATTAACAACTTTTGAAAAAACGGAATTACATTTGAAAAAACTGAATTACATTAAGCCAAAGCAGAAGTGGAGGAAGCGGAAGTGGACAAAGCGGAAGTGGCCCGAATCACATTAGAAAAACAGAATTACATTTGAAAAAACTGAATTACATTTGAAAAAACAGAATTTAATTTGAAAAAACAGAATTTAATTTGAAAAAACAGAATCACATTAGGCCAAAGCGGAAGAGGCCAGAATAGCATTTAAAAAAACAGAATTACATTTGAAAAAATGTAATTCAGGCCACTTCTGCTTTGGACACTTCTGCTTTGGACACTTCTGCTTTGGCTTAATGTAATTACGTTTTTTCAAATGTAATTCCGTTTTTTTCAAATGTAACTGTTTCTTTCAAATTTTATTGTGATTTTGTTGTTTTTGTTGTGTTTTTTCAAATGTAATTCCGTTTTTTTTCCAATGTTGTTCATTTACACCTTAGGGCCACCGTACATTAGGTTTTATTTTGTGCACATTTGTGAGATCATGCAATGTTGTTGTGAGGGTATTCAAGCCATTCATGACACTTTTAGTGCTCAGAGTGTATGTGTTGGAAAATGCTGATTTTTTTAAATCACCATTTTAAATGAGGCTGACTGTAAAAGTCACTTGTAGAAGTTTTTTCTTTGAATCATTATATTCTGGGTTTCATTCAAATTCGTCCACAAATTTATGAAATATTTTGCTAACAGACAGGTGTAAGTTGATTCCAAATACCGTATAGTTAGCGGGCAAATTTTTAGACTTCTTAGTTAAAATCTTAGCGCCCAAAATTTGTGGATCAGTTTTAGCTACTACCACGACTAAGTCCTCACTAAGTTAAATTGAAGGTGAAATAAAAAAAAATAAAATAAAAACAGAGGTTTTGCTTTCTCATAAAACAGGATTAAGCTGCATGTGAACAAAAGCTCAAATAAATATTAGAGACCCACTGTCACGTTTCTGCCCTGGGCATGTATGCAACGCATCTGAGCACAGAGAAATGTTGGCCAAGCACAGGCGATCCTTGCGTGTCTACTTTATACCACCCCGAAACACACAGTCACACAAAAAATAAACATGTCACAGCCAGTGTGTATGGTCAGCTCTGAGTGTCAACTTGATTTAGAATGAAATCCAATATTTATGTACAGATTGTGACTGAAACTGTCCTCGAGAGCTCATTGCCCTTTACAATATGATATCCACACATGCCAGCAGAATTGCATATTACTACCACTGACCCTCAGCCAGTATCCGAAAGGTTACACTCCCCCCTCTTATCTAACCCAACCAGCCTCTTCCACCTTGGCCCCATGAGGACTCCCCGGAGACGGACTGCAGCTACCATTAGCGCACATGTCAACATGCAACATTTACATACACATCACTGTGAAAGTCCATTAAAGATCACACAGCTTCCTAGATGCACATGCTGAGGCAGAAGCTTTTTAAAATCAGCCTCAGCACTTCTAATGGATAACCATGGGACGCTGCACAGAGGTGAACATGAACCTGACTTTGAGTCTAAGACTATTACCATTAGAGAACAGTAGAGAAACATGGGGCAAGGAGCGCTTTCCGAGAACAAACACTATGTGAGCTGGAAACCTCCTCCTTCACTAATGGAAAAGAAATATTGTTAGAGCTTGTGGATAATAGTGAAGCCACCTGGTGGTGCTTTCACAAGCCTGGTACCCTGTGGGTAAAGTTATTAAAGTGAGCTTGGTTGTGTGCATCAGAAGGGCATCGATTTTCCACTCTGAGCAGCTCCACCAGATCAAATGCATCAAATTCAACTACAGAAACTGCATTTTGTGTGAAGAAGCAGAATGAGTGCTCAGTGCTGAATTACTTTGCTGAGTTTTGCTGAAGATGCTGAAATTGAGTTGTCAAGGCTAAAAGAGGAAAACTAGCTAAAACCCAACAAAGCAAAAAGCTAGCTAAAAACCATACAAAGCAAATGATAGCTAAAAGCCAAAGATAGCAATAAGTTAGCTAAATGCTAAATTGACATTTTGACCTTTTTTTTTTTTGTGAGCTCAGTTTAAGTGTAGAAACATTGTGAAGTGTTTCAATGAACTTATCATCATCGCTCAAATTTTTTATTTTTTATTTTTTTTTTTTAAAGAAAGAGAAGAAAGAAGAATAAATAAATAATAAAAGAGAAGAAGATAAGACGAGAGACCACCATGACAAAACAACATGCACAGCACAATGCCACCCATAATATCACCATGAAACATTCGACATCGCACAAGGAATCATCTAGCTTCCACCACTACCCAACCTAGCGTGCATCTGTCAAAGCACCTGAATCCAAACACCCGCGCAAGCATGCCTGCCACCACCAGATTTCTCCAAAAGAATGCCCAATAGTGGACGCGGGGGCCCACAGACCCGCCCCCCCAGGACACAATGGCAACATAGGGACATTTTGACCTTTTGATATGTGCTGTTGACTATCCATGCTGCTGATCTCGTGCTGCTGATTTATTCATGCTGCTGTGTTCGATCATACTCATCTGCTCACGCAGACTCGTGTTCGGGCTGCTGTTTTTTTGGCGTGCTGTTTATTACTGTTTTTCTTTTACAATGTAGACTTTTGTTGGATGTAACTGGGATCCTGTGTACACATTTTTGTTCCACCACATGCACCACATGTGATGCAAATGTCAATAAAGAACCATGACATTTACAGTTACGGTACTAATGCGCACGTGCTAATCAGTCACAACTCTGTAAATACATTCACAGCTAATTTCAGTCTTTATGATTGACCTGATTTTATTGACTTTTGTATATGAACGTGATAATATTTTTAAAAAAATTTGCAATTTTACATTGTGATGGCAAAATATCTTCAATGTGAAATGTTGCCGGGTGTCAACCAACTGAAACACTGGTAGATATGAACCCTCTTTACATTAAATGTATTTTAACAAACAGGAAGTGAGCATGCATTTATCTAGACCACAATGCATTGCAAAATTCTGACTTTCAGCATGTACATTAGTAACTGTAAAAAGGCCAGTGTAGCAGAAGGCTAGCTAAAACAAGCAACTAGCTTGTTAAAAGCTAAAAACTATTAAATGGCTAGCTAAATAGCTAAAAACAAAAGGTATTAAAAATATGACTACAGTAAAAGCTAAAGTAGCAAAGGGTTAACTATAAGGTAACCAGAGTAAAGAAGACAAAAAAACGGCAGATTTAAAAGAGAACAATGCTACTGAAAACAATTGAAAATATTTCTGTGTATTTCAATGAGGCAATTACACATAATTTTAAATAGAAATATATATCTTGAAAAATAAGGTACAAAAGCCTAAAGTCATAGCACATTTTCTGAATCAATGAAGGTTTTGATGAACAGACCAAATAAAGTTTGCAGAAGTAATTAGGTTGCAAAAAAAAGTATGGAAATAATAATAATAATAATAATAATAATAATAATAATAATAATAATAA